GGATGATAAGGGAGTTCCTTCTTTAGAGACAGGTTCTTGCTTTGTAGCTCTAGCTAGCCTGGTACTCAATTTGTAGACCAGGCTGGCCTTGAACTCACACCACGGAGAGATTTGCCTGCCTGTGCCTCCTAAGTGCCTGGATTTATGGCTTGGCCACATCACATGCCTGGCTCTGTGCGTGTGTGTGTGTTTGTTTTTGTTTTGTTTGAGATAGGGGTGTGTGTCTCAATACATAGGTTGGTCTTCAACCTTGTGAACTTCCTGTCGCAGCTGCCTAATGGCTTGCTATCACATCTATTTCTGTTGTTTCGTTAAAATCTCTCTCCAGTAATGTCCCTCCATCAGCTCAGAAACTTTGAATTCTCTCAAGGGCACTTTATAGTGAACTATTCTGCTGCTTCAACCATTTCTTTCCAAGTGTTTACTTTTTGTTTGAACGGAACACAGGGCCTGTACATACTACAGAGTTGCTCTCCCACTACAGTGCGTACAGGCTCTGCTGTGTCAGGTAGTGACTGGGGTGCACAGACCAGCACCCAAGGCTACTAAGTCTCAGCTCTTGGTCCATATTTACCTGCTGGCATGCAGCTGTGGCTTTATTTGTAGTTACTGATGAGACGTTTCTGCCTGTGTACAAATCTGTCATGGGACAGATGTCCATCTTCATCCTGATGTCCATCTTCATCCTTTCCGGTGTATCCTGATTGGTGCCCCTTCCCAGCCTGTAATAGAACCTCCTTCCTGAGATGGTTTCTAGTGGTGTCTCTTGCCTTTCATTTCTCCAAGGTGGGAACTGTTGTATACTTTGCTGTCCAAATAGTCTTCAAATGACTGGGCATGTTGGGGAGGGCTGGGGAGCTTGAGTGCTCTCCCACAATGTATTTGAGCCATTTCCTCTTCCAGGGACTCTACCAGCTTGTCTGGCTCAGTGTTTGAGGACTCAGGTTTGTTGTTCATTTACCCTGTCAGCTTCCAAAAGACACTGTACTAGGTCCTCCCTGGCCATGTCCCTCCTGGTCACTCAGCCAAGTTTAGTACACATCGATTTGTTTCTGTTTTTTCAGACAAGGTTTCTCTGTGTAGCCCTGGCTATCTCAGAACTCCCTCAGTAGAGCAGGCTGGCTTTGAACTGAGTGGTCCGTGTGCCTCAGCCTCCCAAGTGCTGGGGTTAAAGGCTTGCGCCATCCCCTCCCAGCATTCACTTTTATTTATTAGGGCCGATGTAGCCCTGGCTGGTCTGAAACTCACTGCATAGGTGCCTCACACTCAGAGCTCAGCTTCCTTCTGCCTCCTGAGTGAGTGCTGGGATTAAAATTACACTACCGCACTTGGCTAGTATACATACATTTATTTGGTTTTTCGAGACAGGGCTTCTCTGTGTAGCGTTGGCTGTCCTGGAATTCACTCTATTGACCAGGCTGGCTTCAAACTCACAGAGATCTGACTACCTCTGCCACTGCCTGAGTGCTGGGATTACAGGCATGCACCACCACACCCAGCCATATCCCTATCTTTTAATGAGGCCTTCTCTGCCCATGTCTAGGCAATCCCTACTCCCAGAAATAGGCCATCTGCAATCTAGTTTACTGTGTTCCAAAACTGCTTTTTGTCCCAAACTCAGGGAGTGTTCCTTAACATCTTCATTTTTCAGTGTTTTATTCAAGGCCACAGTGGCAGAACCAAGCTTAATTCTATAACCTGGACTCCTTTCGGCAGCCCCACATATATGTAAACAGCGGATGGACATCTCATCTCCAGGGACGCTCGGAGACAGGCCTGTATCTAGTGTCCTGCACATAAGCCTCACAATGTTTACTGTGGATACCCACCCCATCCCCAGGGAGTCCTCTGCCTGGGCTTGAACTGCCCACTCTGGCACTTAAACTGTCTATTGTCTTACTGTTGTCTACTGCTGCCTGTGGCTAAGGGACACTTTCTTTTACCCTATGTCCAGCCTGGACTCAGCTGATGGGGGTTACTAGAACTGCAGCTGTTCTCCATCGGGAGAAAAACTTGATATCATCTTAATGGGTGTTAAACATGCAGCTTTGTGGCTCAAGTGTGTAGTGGGACTCAGGAATCTGCATTCAAACACCCTGGACTGGTCTACATTCCTGGGAGGACTGCCCCACTTACTCAGGATTATTTCCTGCTGTAATTAACCACTGCACACAGCTGAGGAAAATCAGAAAAATGCCTTTTTGTTTCTGGGCACCTAAGTGACAGGTGTAACATTCTGACTGGCTACTTGCCACAGGTGCACGCTCCCCACGTGGCCCTTCTGTGGGTGGTGGGTGTCATCCCAGACTCAAGACCCTCCACTCCCCAACCAAGCCACAGCTGTGGCCCTCCTTCCCAACCCCGTCCTCTAGTCCCTGCCCCCTCCCACAGCCCTTCCCCAGAATATTTTATTGTTCCCGGGTAAGTTTCCCCTTCGGAATGGGGGCAGAACAACTGGCTGGATAGACAAGGGTGCTCCTCACTCATCCTGTCCTACTGAATGGGCAGTTTTTCCACCTGAGAAAACCCTGTGTTTTCTACCAGAGAAATGGGCAGGCGCCTCTCTGGAACTTGTTTGGAGAGATGTCACTCCCAGGAAGAGACCCCGTCTTTTGTAAACATCCCAAAGCAGGCCCAACCTGCCGTTCCTTTGTTGGGGCAGAGGGAATGGAATCTTACCGATAAGGCAAGGAAAGCTTGCAAAGAACAACAAGGGCGGCCCACCCTTCTCCCTCTGGCCTCCAAGCACCCCATACTTAAAAGGGGAAGGGAAAAAGAAAGCACCAACAAAAGAGTTAAGATAGCAATTCCCAGCTTTTTCAAATACGAAGCATTTTTAACCAATCCATTTTTTTAATTCTTAAATTCTTGACATTACAGAACTAAACTGAAATTTATTAACATTCCACTCTTACATTTTTTTATTGACAAACAGAAAATAAAATCCATGAGCCAAAAAACCCAAACAAAACTAAAAACAGGGAAAAGCTTATAAAACTAAATATGGATCCCAGCATTAACAGCTGAACAGAGAATGTGATTTTTTTTCCTTAAATTCTTAGCGGATGATAAAGTGTAGAAACTGAACACTTACAAATTATTTAAAACCTGGAATCACTGACCAGAAATTACACAGTTGGATCATGGGAAAACAGCAGAAGGGGGTTACAAGCGAACCTACACTGTTCTAGCTGCACCCCATGCCCTTCTCAGAGGAAAGCCTGGCATTGATTAGATACTGGGCCAGGCTAATGCTGGCAGCCGAGCCAGTGATAGTGACCTGCCTTCCAGAAGAGCCTTCCACTGGGTTGGCAATTTTGATCTGGGCCCCGGACATCTGGCGGATCTCATTGATGTTGGCGCCTTGGCGCCCGATTATGCAGCCGATTAAGTTATTTGGAATGGTGAGTTCATGGGTGGTTTGAGTAGATGCATCCAAACTTGCCCAATAGCCTTTCACCTCTGGAGAGCTGGAGTCAATTCCGGCGAATCCCGTCCCGCCGTGCATCATGGCAAAGTGAGACTGTTGTCTTGCCACCTGGTTCAGCTTGGCCAGATCCAGCGGAGAAATGGTGTGTTGTCCTTGAATCGAGTAGGCGTCTAGAGGTGGTCCCTCCAGGTCGTGGGTAGCGTGGGGGTAGCCCGCCGCGTCGCTGCAGCGATCTTGGCCGCCCGCGCAGATGACTGGCGAGCTGGCCGGCATGGGCTGGTACGGGATGGTCATGACTCTCCCTTGCGGAGACTGGGAGAGCGTCTCCAGCATGACCAGGCAGATCTGCTTGACACACTCGGTGACCGACTGCGGTACGCCGGCGATAGTGATGGCCCGCTCGGTCGAGTTGGGCAGCATATCCCCCGCCACCTGGACCTGGGCCCCCGTGCTCTCGCGGATCTCCTTGATCTTGCAGCCGCCCTTGCCGATCAGGGAGCCACACTGGGTGGCGGGCACGACCAGCCGCAGGGTGACCGGGGGCCTGCTGGCCGCCGTACTGTTGGTCATGGAGCTGTTGATATCTTCCTCCAGCTTGTCGATGATCATGGCGAAGGCCTTAAAGATGGCATTGGTGGGCCCGGTCAGCGTGATGATTCTCTCCGGGCAGTTCCCCTCCGAGATGTTGATCCGCGCGCCGCTCTCCTCGCGGATCCTCTTCACCGACTCCCCTTTCTTCCCGATGATGCTGCCTACTTCCTTTCCGTGCATCAGCAGCCGAATGGTGAGAGTCACGTTGAGTCCGCTTTCAGTCACACCGGCGTCCATGGCGAGCGGCGGGCGGCGTTCGGGAGTTGGGCTCGTTACGTGGTCAATTCCTGGGCGGCTGGCGGGGGAGGGGAGGAGTAGGCCCGAACTGCCGGCGCGAGGCGAGCGGGGGCCGCGGGAGCGGGCGGGCGCGGGCGGGAGGCCGCGGCGGCGTCGCAAGACGAGCGGCGGCGGCGGCGGGGGCGAGCGGGGCCGGGAGCGGCGGACGGGCGGGTGGGCGAGGGCGCGGCGGTGGCGACTCCGGCGGCAGCCTCGGCGGTCTGGGCGGGGCGGGAAGCCCGCTTTCAACCCCGCGTACCCTCTGACCCCGGAAGTGCTTGCTGCGCAGGACCCCTAGGAGAAAAAAAAAAAAAGAGGACCGGCTCTTTTAGGTCACAAGACTGCGCCAGCGCGCGCGATACTTGAGAAAAATAGCCCTGTGGCGCCACGGGACGGGGGCAAACCCACAGCGAGGGCGACCCCGGGCACTCGGCGGGGCTGAGAGGGAGCACGTGTTTTTATGAACTCTAGAGGCCGGGGACTGGGGAGATTACTGTTTTGTGACGGAGGCAGACAACATTTTCCGCTCCGCCGATGGCTTCCGGCGCGGAGCGATACAGGCAGGCGCGGAGGCTACTGCCGGCGGTGGCGGGCCGCCGCGGGTGGAAAACGTGCGCGTGAGGCGGCCGGGGCGCATGCGCGGGGCGCGGGGGGGCGGGCGGGGCCCGCGGCGGCTTCCGGTGGGGGAGGGGCGGCGCCGCGCGGCCTGGCGGCCGGGCACGCGCTGTGGTGGGCACGTGGGGCCCCTTCGTCCCCGGCGTCCGGGCGCCTCGTACCAGCCCCCACCTTGGCCTCCGTCCGATGGCTGCGTCCGGCGCGTAGAGAGGCTGGAGACTCGCCCTCCGCCGAGGGCCGCTCGCTCGGGCCCGCGGTGTTTGGGGGACGTGTTAGGCACCCGGGCCGCTAGAAGAATGGCGTCCATTTACATAATGCTTTGTTTGCACCCTGCTGGTCTCTTCAGTGCAGCCTCAGTAGCCCCACCTCCTGCCCCGTCTCCCGCCGCAGCCTCTTCGGGCGTTAGTGGAGTAGTGCGCGGCGAAGGGCTGCCGGCGGGCCCGCGGGTCCGCCCCGCTCGCGCGGCCCGGGCCACGCTCCCTGGACTGGCCCACCCTAGGCGCGGCCGCCATCTTGGGAGGTCTTCCTGACCGAGTCGCCTCGCCCGAAATGGCCATCGAGACGTAGGATAGCGAGTTGTGATTTTTTTCCCCCCTCTCCTCGGTCCACCGCCATACCCAGCCTAGAGGAGGTCGTGTGAACATGTTGAATACCTCAGAGAAAGGGCTAACGTGGCGCTCCTCCGCCCCTTTTTTCCCCACCGCGGGGAGGGCTGGCAGCCATGTTTCGCAACAAAATGGCGACACGTCGCCAACGGGAAATCGGGTGGGTCCGAAAGCCCTAGAACGTGGTTTTATCATCCTCGGTCCTTCCCCAAGCCCCTGCAGACTGAAACGACAGGCTACTTGGAAGTTTTTTGGCAGAAGCTTAAATGCTGTACGCCTCCTTGTTGGACACGTGAATAGCCAGAATTCAGGCCTAACACTGATCATTTTAAAATTGAGTGATGGCAGGCAGGTGTGTCTCTGTGTGTGTGCGTGCGTGCTTGCAGTACCTAGTCAAGGATCAAAGCATCTAGAAACCCATTTTCTTAGACCTTATACAGGTTGTGGCGTACCTGATTAAAGATTATATGGCCAAAAAGCCATTGGGATGCCTGTGTCTCACTATTCAAATGTCCAGTAACCTGCAAATTCTCAATTTTTTGCCCAGTTTTATAGTCAAGAGGAACAGTTGGAGGCTGTGGATTTGCCATACCAGATTCCATTCTAAACATTTTACTACAGGAAATCCTTATCACAATCCCCTGAAGTGAAGTGGTTATTTATTTCTCTTTTTTCCCACCCAACAGAGCAAGATAAACCCAGAGAGATGAAGTGACTGACTCAAGGTCACACAGAATGGAATCCATATCTTCTGATTTCCATACTGGTGAGCACCTTTTGCAGATTGTTATTTAAATCAGTTTTAGAATTTGATTTTGCAGAGCTGGATATCAAGCTACCACTAAGCCACATTCCCAGCCTTTGTATTTTTCGTTGCAGTCAGTATATATAGCACAGCTCGCCCTGAACTCTGGATCCTCCTGTCTCAAGCTTCTCAAATACTGGAATTATTAATTTTTTAATTAAAAAATTAAAGGCACGTGCCACTGGCAGGATTATAGAATTTAAATGTTGCAGCATGGTAGCAAACACTTTTAATCCCAGCACTGGGGAGTTAAACAGGTATATTTCTGAGAGTTTGAGGTCAGCCAATTTAAATGCTGTTTCAGTGCTTCAGACAGCCCTGCCTGTTGTAGACTCTTGATTTGTAGACCAGGCTGGCCTTGAATTCACACAGATCCACCTGGCTCTGCCTCCTGAGACCTGGGATTAAAGGCATGTGCCACCATGCCCAGCAAGCTTGTGATTTTTTTTCTTTTTTAAGATATATTTATTTAATGTGTGTGAGTCCTTTATCTGCATGTATACCTGTGTGCCAGAAGAGGGCATCAGAGGGATAGATGGTTGTGAGCCACCATGTAGTTGCTGGAAATTGAGCTCAGAACCTCTAGAAGAGTAGACAGTGATCTTAACCGCTGACACATCTCTCCAGCCCCAGGCTTGTCATTTTTAAAAGGAGCTGTTCAGACTCCTGCTTGCTGTATAGTCAGCCCCCATGTTTGTGTTCAGTGCCTTCCAGTTATTCCTGGTGTTAGTGACACTTGTTTAGGCATGAATATTATTTTAAGAAGCTTCTGGATGAGGACAGGAAGTGGAAGTGATTCAGTCTTTCCCAAAGGTTCAAGATTCCTTTTATCTGGCTCTGTCTGTGGTACATTTTCATCCACTTGGCTCTAGGGGAGCAAGCAGTTTTCTATATGACTCACTTTCCTCAGTTACTCATGTGGTCTTCTGGCTTCCCCATCCCAATCCCTTAAGCAGACAAAATATTTTACCTAGCTCCAATCCCCCATTTCTCTGCAAATATTGACAGAGCATGGCAGAGTGTTAGAAAAATCATAATCTGTGGGCTCTTCAATGTAATAACATAGGTAGTGGGCCAAGCAACAAACATGTACCTGAGTGATTTAATAGGTACACAATAGCAGCAAGGGCAATAATAGCATAAAGAGCTCAGTGTGTGCTAGGCACTGTTCTGAGCATTTTTGGGTGCTTTAATTCAGTGCTGCTTCTGTTTTAAAGAGCATTATAAGAAATTTAAATGACACATGTACACACCTATATATAACCAAACTATTACAAATGAGAATTACTACTTGAAATATATTTTAGAAAATTCTGCCTATTTCTTTACATTCAAAGAAAACAGGAACCATTATAACTAGAATTAAACCCATCATAGGTTATGGCAGATACACATGTTTAATTTTCACAGAAGATGAAGTGAATGGTGATATTTCTACTTGAAAGGACTTGAGTATAGGCCAGTTATGTTCATATGCTAGATGTTGAACCCATAGACTACATGTGGATTTTGCTGGGTGCCTCTTCTTGTGTGGTGATTAAGGCATTTAGAATATTAGTAAGCACTAAAATGTCAGGCAATACAGTCATGGTGATGTACATCTTTAATCCCAGCACTCTGGAGGCAGAGGCAGGTAGATCTTTGAGTTTGAGGCCAGTCTTGATTTACATAGTGAATTCCAGGCCAGCCATGGCTTCTGTCTCAAAACAAACAGAAAACAAAAAAAAAAAAAAAAAAAAAAAAAAACCAATCAGATAACAAAAAGATGGAATTAGATATAATCAGGGAGTGTCCTGATTCAGAAAATTCTGGTTTTCTGCATTTGCCAACTTAAAAGGTATACCTGGGGCTGGAGACATGGCTTAGCAGTTAAGAGCACCTCTTCTAGAGGACCTGCATTTAGTTCTCAGAACTTACTTGATGGCTCACATCTCTCTGTTAACTCCAGTTCTAGAGGATCTGATGCTGCCTTCTGGCCTCTGGAGGAACCATGAGTGTAAGTGACACACAGAGTGACACACAGACATGCACATGGGCTGTGTACCACTGTGCTTGTCGGAGAAGACACTTGATGTCTCCTCTCCTCTCCACATTTAAGAGCACACACTCCACATGCACTCACACACTGACATACACACACTCCTGTTATTAGGTGTCAGGTTCCTGGATTCCATCTCCAGCATGAGAAAAAAAAAAATCCCATTTTCAGTGTGCCTGCTATTGTTGGTTTATCCTTCTTCTCATTTTTTCCTCCAGACAGTCTCTTTACACAGGCCTGGCAGTGTTGCTACTCCGTAGTAGACTAGACTCAACTGACTTTGAACTCAGAAAGATCCACCTAATTCTGCCTCCCAAGCACTGGGATTAAAGGTGTGCACCACCATACCTAGCCACCCTTTTTTTGTTGTTTTTGTTTTTGGGGATTCAGGGTCTTAATCTAATGTCCAGGTTGGACTCAGATTGATGAGTTTCAATGATCTTTCTATCTCAGCCTTGAATGTAGCTAAAGTACAGCTGTGTGAAACATGCCTAGCTCAGCTTGGGCACTTTCTGACACAGCCATCTACTCCATCCTGGCCTTTCCTCAGCTCTAGACATTCTTGTCTAATAGTCATGGCCACTTACTTGCTGTTGTAGTCTTGAGTCTCTCTGAATGTCGATTTCTATGCCTGTCAAATTGAGATAATGGCAAATGAGAAAGAAAGAGGGGTAGACATAATGTGTTAGAAAATATGTATCTCTGCCTTGTTTTGGAAAAATTGTAAATGTAACTTATTTTCTTATGAGAGTAACTGTAAAGAGAATTTTGGCTTTTTTAAAAACCCAGTTATGTGAATGTTTTTATTTTAATCTCAGGTGTAGGATATGGGGTAGCTTTAGATTGTCCACAGCTGCTAACTGTGATTGTCTCATGCTCTAGGAGGGACATGGATTTACCATTGGCAGATAGTATCTGGGTTTGTGGCATGTGGAATTCTGGGAACTTTTTCTGAAGAGGGTATAAATGCCAGGGCTCTGAGAGGGCTGCATGCTCTGAAGGGCTGCTGCTCCCCCTGTTGTTGTGGCTATTGTTGCTGCTACTTCTTCGGTGTGTGTGTGTGTGTGTGTGTGTGTGTGTGTGTGTGTGTGTGTGTG